TGCAAAATTCTATAAGGTGGTAGTTGCTAGAAGTGTTGTTCCAGAATGTCAAGTTGTTTGGGATGATCTTCCCATTGGAGATGCCATAATTTTTAATGATCTCATAGACCGTTACAAGCTATGTAAGGTAAATTCTCCTCCTCCCACTTTTAATTTGTCAGTGGTTCAAGAGTTCTATGCCAATGTTCCCTCCAAATTTCCAGATTTTGGGAGTCAAGTTTATGTTCGTGGTGTATATGTTCCCTTTGATTCCAATTTCATTTGTGATATCCTAGGTTTAGATCTCTCCAATGCATCCAGATGCATTCTTTTGATTTGATCACTTGTCATTATGACAATGATGCCTACCATCATCAAGCTTACTTAGACTCTTTTATACTTCTGGTTAAGAATGAAGCGTCAAAATTGAGTCTTAAGCCTTTCTATAGACTGGGGTCTGATTTTCTGCGTAGAAATGTTCTTGGAACCTTAATCAATGGAAATCCTACTTTAGAAGCTGTTAGGGTCCTATATGCTATGATGAGTCTAACCGATGTACCATTTGGTTTCTTCATTTTCCGTTCAATTATGTCTAAGACCAAGCGTCCAAGCAAACAACAGCGTGGGTCCACTATTTATGCTTGCCTCATAGCTCTCATTTGTTAGCGTGTTGATGTCCCATTTTATAAAGATGATGTTTGTTCTAGGTCCACCAAGGAATTGGATAAAGGTTTCATGAACCTGAGCAATGTGATGTTTGCCATTGCTCTGGGTGATCTTCGTCCTCTCCTCCTTCTAATGCACTTAGGAAAGAAAGATTGCCCACCTTGAGTCTGAACTTAATTCTCTTCGAAAACAATTCGTGTTGTTTCAATCCTCAATGGGTCAAACAACATCTTCACCGCACATCAGTCATTCCCCTTATGCCTAGTCATTAAGTCAGTTATCCTTGAACCCTTCATCGTTTGCACCTGAACCATCTATGCGTCCTCCAAAATTGGTTCCTCATTATAATGTGGCTCCATCATTTCCTTCATACTTTGCTGCTGATTTGTCTGGTCACTGTGGTGTGGTGGCAGCTAAAATGGCAGCAATCTATGTTGCAAAAGGGAAATGAGTCTCTTCTCATAAGGTTCAACCCTTTCATTCTCCTCCAACTCCTAAGACCAAGCATATCTGGTTCACGTACTCTGATGATGAGGATGAAGTTAGTATTGTTGCAAATGAAGATGTGGCTACTAAAACTAATGCCTCTGGCTCTCCTCTGCGTTCGAACACATTGTCTCATTCTGAGGAATTCTAGGTCATGGGGGAATGTAGTTTATGAGAGTAGGTTGTTTAGAGAGCACATCTTATGGGGGAGTGTGGTTTCAAGTGTAGCTTTCTTAGGAGAACACTAATCTTGGGGGAGTTTAATTTCTTTTGCTATGTTATTAAACATTTGTGCTTAAATTGTAATTTGAAACTCCATATTTTTGTAATTATTGTTGTGCTACTCTCGGCTTAGCTATTGTTGGCTATCCTAAACAAATGGGTAATTTGAATAGATTACATTGACATGCTCCTTTGGTTTTAATATTTTGGTACCGAGAATTGTACCTTGTGCTTCAACTTCTTTGATGTCTTTGTTGTTGGTTCTTATACACTTCATTTGTGGTTGGATATTTCTTTGTTGAACTCAATTGACATATCAATTTCTTTTGTTTAATGAAATTGGCATATCATTCATTTAACATCCTTTGTATTTGCCATAACAAAATGGGGGAGAAAAATAAATTTTGAAAATTTGTTTTGTGTTGCAATCGTCCAGGCGAGACTCGGGGGTTACGACCTTACTACATACCAGTGAGTGGGCTTTTGATTTTCTATATATATATATATATATGTATGTATATACGTTTTACATTCGCCCAGAAAATGATTTAAATGGAATTATGTTTTAAGTGCCATGTCATACTTGCATTTCATTTTAGTATATGTATTAGCATGTGTATGCATAATATTGTATAATGCTGCGGAGGCTAGGTAAGCTTTAGGTGAGTATTGTAAGATGATAGTGGTTGCAGTGTTTATGGTTATGCGTAGATGCATTTAGAGCTCATTATCCTGCACCCCGATGTTAGTGCTCCCGCCAGAGGCCAGGGCATAGCCTTCACGTGATCGTTCACCTCCCACACCGTACGCTCACCTTGGATCCAAGTTTGGTGCCAGCCTGTCGTACATACCACATTAGGTGGTTTCGACTCGTAGATGACCTGCAATTCATTGCACAGCCTTCACGTGATCGTAGCACTTGAGCGTACTCATTTACACCTAGCATGTCGTACATACCACAATAGGTTGTTCCGACTCGTGTGTAGGAATTGGTTTATGAGCTATAGGTTCAGTCGTATAGGTCACGTTAGGTGACTACTGCTGACATGTCATTTTATATTGATTCACATCACCTAGCTTACACATTTATTACTGAGATACTTGACATGACACATACTTTGGTTTTCATTGCTCTCAAGCCTAATTTCTATATACATATGTATTATTATTTTCTGAGAAATTATATGGGTTTTACGGTGAGGAGTTATTATTTTTGGAAGGAGAAATGGTTTCAAAAAGCTCTGTTTTTACCCACTCACATTTTCTGTTTGCGCCCCTCTATGTTCTATTAGGCGTACTTGTTGGTGGCTTACGAGGGCTCTTCGACAGTTCTAACAAACTTCAAATAATGTAGGAATTTCGTTCATGTCTTGTATAATTAATATTTAGCTAGATAGACTGCATCTAGGTTACTTATACTCTGAATATGTGTATCTACACCTTAAGTACCTCCATGTGCACTTATTTATTTATCTAGTGTAAGTTAGCTAGTTGGTTTTTATTTACTCACATTTTCATATCATTATCACTTTCGCATTGCGCACATGGCTACGTCATCCTCATGTGACGGCCAACACGCCTCGATTTAGGTCGGGGTGTGTCAGTATACCAATAACAAAATATTGCATTAACTTAGGAATTGGATCATGCTTTTGATTTTATCTTTTACCTACAAACAATCATATACATATTACTTTATATATTTTTACCAAAAAATGTCCCTAATAGGCTAATATAAGTAATAATACATGAAAAATAATTTACCTACCGTGTATATAAAAATGTTCTTTGATTCAAAATATATAATCTAGGTTTTCTCCAAAAAAAAGAAAATATATATATATATATATATATATATATATAATCTAGGTGTAGTATATATATTTTTTTATATAATTGGAACAAATTAATTTACCTACCTACAAATTAATTTCCAATAATTTACCTACAAAAAATTATAACCCGTGTGTAATATAATATCTTTTTTTTCACTAATACATGGAGAATAATTTACCTGTAACAAGAAGAAATATAATTTGATGTATTATATTGAAAAATATTATGTCATACCTATACTTATACAACAATGAAATGTGACTAATATATGTAACAATACATGAAAAATAATTTACCTACAAGTTAGAGAAGTGTTATTTGATTGAAAATATATAATACGGATTTAGTATAATTTTTTTAATAAATTAATTTACTTCCCAATTAATGCAATATATATATCACAAAAAGGTAACTTTTTGGTATGATATGGATACAATTAATGCAATACAACAGTTTGTATATTTTATTTCACTTTTTCTACAACTTTTAATTTGTAATAAATTTAGGGATTTGGGAAAGTGGCATGGGTATAAATAAATTGTATTAGTAGGTCAATAGTGTTCCGATGTGGCTGCAGATTTTAAATTTGGGCTTTTATTGGACGTTTATATGTAGATGAGTTTTTATCTAGGAATCATGAATTGTAAGGGCCAAAATCTAAGACACCCTATTTTTAAAGAGAAATTAGGTTCTCATTCTTCATTTTGCTACTCCATTGATTAAAATCCTATTCCTTTTCAATTTTTGATCAAGGTCCTTGAGGATTAATAACATCATTAAATATTTCGATAATAAAATATTTTTATTCTAAATGTATTCATTTAATTTTAAAAATGTTACAATTAGTATATTTATATTTATGACCATATTTTTATCATATATTTTTAGTTTTAGTTTGTACCCATTTTTAATTTGTAACCCTTTTTTAATTTGTAGCAATTTTCTTTTTAGTTTTAATTTGCACCCATATATTAATTTTTTTTGTGTCCATATTTTTTAAAGTTTTATTTATATTTGTACCCATATATTTTTTTAAAATTTATTTGTACCCATTTTTTATTTTGCCAAATGTACCCATGCTAATTATATGTACCCATTCATGTATTTTTTTTCAAATTTTTAATCTTAAAATGTACTCATTCTTAAATATACCAATTTGTTATATGTAAAATGTACCTTTTTTTTATATAAAATCTATTCAATTTTTTTCTAATCCATTTTTAAACTTATATGGGTACATTCTTTTTTCTTTGATTTTAAAATGTATCCATGTCAAGCTTAATCGAAGAAATTTATTAATGTTATTAAGCCTAATATCCTTTTTTTTTTTTTGTGATTTTGAAGATGTACCCATGTTTTGATACAATTATTTTTTGTTTAATTTTGATGAATGTACCCATTTATACACACACACACACACAAAATAGTATATTTATATTTTAATATTTTTAATCCCACAAATTATAGTTTTTTATTTAAAATCTCATTTATATAAACAACTAAAATTTTTAATTTTTAATTTAAAAAATATAGTAACGTACATAAAAATAAATTATCACATTAATTTCAGGGACTTTGATCAAAAATTGAAAACCAACAAGGTTTCAATCAAAGAATATTCATAGTTAATGACCATATTCAAAGTCTTCCTATTTTTAATAAAATTTATTCCGAGACCCAATTTCTATCATAATCTCTAGCTAGGGTTTGAGTGGTGGGTCATTCCCACCATGTGCTTCCATGTGCTGTGTCTTACTCTCAAAGTCCCACACCTCCCGTCCTTTCACCACATAAATAAGGGGTTTCTGCGCATTCTTCTCCTTCTCATTCTCTCTCTCTCTCTCAAACTTTCTTGGATCTATAGAAAAACTGCATCGCTCTGCAAAACTTGTCTGTCATATTCATATAGACCTCCCATGAATTTCTCTCCTATCCCTGTCCAATAGAAGAGAAATCTAGCATACATTTTTTTTTCTGTTTCATAACCAAGGTATTTGTGTTTCTAAATATTACCGCATCATATTTTGTTCTTACAAAAACCTAATTCTTGATTCCGCACATTTTGTAGAATGCGCAATTTCAGTTCTTGTTGTATCAAGCAAGAATTTCTGAACAAATGGATAAAGGGTCTCCAAGTATGCAATAGCAGCACCACCTGTTCAAAGAAGAAGATGACCAACTTAGACAGAAAGAAGGCTATCAAGTTATCAGCAGATATAGCCATGGCTTCTACAAGAAATGGAACTACATTTTGGAGCCGCGCCGTCATAGCCAATGCTACCCACAGCAACGGCGACAATAACAGAATCTTCGTTGAGCGTACACTGGGTGGTGGTGATGGTGGTGGTGGTCGTTTGTCCGAGCACTGTGGGAGAACGAAAGCTTCGAGATCACTGTCGTCAGTGATGCACAAGAAGATCTTGAAGAAAAGCCGGAGGGTATGTAGTAGAACTGTGTTGGGGAGGAAACATAACCTAGCAAAAACCCATTCGATTGCCAAGAGATTGGTCCGGAAGAAAACACAAGTGCTCAAGAGTCTTGTTCCTGGAGGAGAATCCATGGATGAGCTCTCTTTGGTTGTGGAAACCCTAGATTATATCGCGTCTCTGCGAGCTCAGGTTGAGGTAATGCGGTGTCTTGCCACCACCGCGGAGTTATTAAATGGTACATAAGAATAATATCGATGGTACTAAATTAATTAATTACTTGATCCATCTTATTAATTATATTATGTTTTTTTAATTTCTCTTCATTTTCCTTTTTTTCTTTTTGTCCTTTTATTCAATAGTATAGTGATAGCTAGTTATTTCGATATGTAGCTGTAACTTTAAGGTGCCCAGTATTGTACAGATCGAAGAATGCATACCAGTAATCGAAGCTTGGAATTTTAATGTTTAATTAAGTTGTCAGTTCTCTTGATACACAAGATTTATTTTTACTAGCTAAATAACACTCAGTTACAGTTTAAATTTTCAATTGATCGAGCTTTATGCTTGCAGTGTGGGAACAAGATATCGAAAACTATATCAATCACCTTATTCACATATTAACAACCGTATGTTTGCAATATCAATATTGATGGCCTATCGACGTCCATATTTAAAAATATGGTTAATGGTATATTAAGGTGGAGGCGTATACTAGGCGTTCCGTAGATAACCCTGCTTATATATATAGGGTTTGAAGAATTAGGAATTTAGGGCTTGAGGAATTGGGGAATTGTGGAATTGGGAATGAGGGATTGGGTGAACTGTGAATGAGAAGATGGGAATCGGGATTTGGGATGGGGAAGAAGGGGGCTGGGGGTTGTAATTTAAAAAAAAAAATTAGATTTGGCCAAAACGACATCGTTGAGCCAAGTATTAAGAAAAATAGAAAATCCCATTTTTTTTTCTATGCAATCATCTTCTTCGTGAAGACGCCGCCTCTGCAACTAAAAAAAAATCAGAGGGCTGGCGCTACAACAGGGCCCAGCCTTCGACTTCGGGTGCCCAGAAAATTTCAAGCAAGATTTCAGTCGACTAGATGTGCCCCGACAAGCCTAGGCGAGTTTTTAGCCGATTGCCACAAAACAGAGGTGGCAAGCCACTTGATAGGTGCATTATTTATTACATTTTCATGTTAATTATCCCTAATTTTTGTTAAGGAATTGGTCATAAAAGAGCCTTATTACTTTCCTTTTCTCTGTTTTTGATGCAAGGCCAATTGGAGAAGGAAGCTAAGAGGCGGAAGATCGTTGTATCCAAATTTCATAATTTTCCATGAAGCCAAACGTTCCAGTTTTACAAATCAATCCCGCATGAGTAACTTTCCCGTCAGAACTGCGCAGCTGTGGGAGAATGAGGCTTTCCCGATTTTTCCTAGTGGCGTGCAATATATGCTTGGAAAGATAAGAGATCAAGCTACGTTTCCATATTTTTACAGAATTTCCAGAAGATAAATCGACCCTAAAATTGGCGTGCAAATCAGATGACGTGTTTCCCAAACCAAGAAGGATTCTTTCCTAGTTTCTCTCATTGATTATTTAGGAGTTTGTTTTTTTTTAGGATAGTTTTTAACTGACTCTTTAGGATTTTATTAGAATAAATAGAGTGCTCTAGGCTACCTAAAAGGGGGAACGGAAGAGAAAAGTCGTCCAAAGGGAAGGATGAAGGAAAAATTTTGTCCTAGCTAAGAACAAGTAAGAACATTTGAATACATATGCATACTATTAACACTTTAAAGTAGGCATGCATTCAAAAATAATTCATAAAACCCATGACTTTCAAAGCCTAGTATATGGTGAACCAAAAGACTCTTTAACAACATTAAAGAGAAGTAAAGATTTAGAGTTTCTTTACCCTTGAAGCTCATCCTTGTTTACACAAGGGATTCACCCAAGTGGAGGGCCTTCAAGAGTCACCTCCTAGCTCCTTGGATATTGCTTGTGATTTCCTTCTCCTTTTGTGCTCCTTTGGACTTTGTGGATGTAAGGAAAGGATCTCCAAAACACCAAAAGTTTGGTGTCTCTAAGTCTCCACACCAAGGGTTAAGTGTGAAGATGAAATGGATGACTTAGGGAAGAAGAGATTGCTAGATTAATCTCCCTAAGTGGCCGGCCTCTTTGTAGAGAGAAAGAGAGAAAATGTTTCACCTCTTTGCCTCAAAGAAAACCCTAATTAGAAAATAGCTATAAAGTTGCTTTTATAACACTTTTCTTTGGTGAGTGGCAAACTTGCAATTAAGCAAACTTTCACCATCTCCTCACCACGGCCTGCCTATATGTTGTGATTGGGCTTATTGCCCATTTTGTTTTAGTTGTCATACAACTTAAACATAATGGGCCTTATGGACCAAAACACTTTTGGGCCCCGAAACCCAAAACCAACTTAAAAAACCCCAATACGAACCTTTCGTATAATTAATTAACTAATTAATTAATCTTGACCATTCTTCAATTAAACCATTTAATTGCATATCCATTTCATTTAATTTCTTCACTATCGCCCTTACTCGGTGTACGATCCATTAGGTTCCAATTAGCGAGGTAGTGGGCGATTGTTACTCTTAACGATCGATTGTGAATTGAAACCACATTTCAATTCTCCCTTTATGATTAGTGTTTGCTAGTCATTAGGGCTTCCACAAACCATGAGTGACACCTAGCAGTATGTCATGGTTACCCAAGCTAAGTAGAATTGGTTGGAGAACCTATCCAGTTACAACTACAATGCAATACGGTCCTTCTCTAATACAATACTCTTAATCACATTGTTTAAGTGATAGTTTGTTTCATGTCTACTATCCAATGTGATACATATCTATATGATTCCCTTGAATATGATTTGGAACAAACTTCCTAAGTCATATTCATATGCTTTGGCCAAAGACTTTAGAATCATATCTTAGAGTATTCTCCTTCCACCATGGAAGGTTAGAGATCCCTTGTTGTGCATTCATATGCCTACACGACTAGATAGCTTGACCCCAACAATGCCGTGGACACTCCGATGGAATGCCGTTGACATGATCAAAGATCAAAGACCTAACCATTAGACATCTATGATGCCTCAGGTCAAAGGGCTACTTTGCATATTGCAACTTTCGAGTTCTTACATGACATGTATGTTCGAACTCTCTTTTGATCGTTGTTCAGTGTACTCGATTACTCTTTCGAGCACCTATGTGTTTGTCTTAGTGTCTAACACCAAATAACTTGAGACTAGTCATACTCACGCTTGAGTCAACATAACACATACTAACCTTAGCGGATTGTCAATGCCCAATTGGCAATCCTATGGCTAGGAACGTTTTAGGAATGAACATAAGAGATGGTCTCGATAATCTAACTCACTTAGATCACTTGTCTCTTAGATCAAATACATCCCTAGGATTCCCTTATTGCTTAAACACATGATACAATAAATAGTGATTAACAATAAGCTTTGCCCTTCATTAAACATATAAAAGTTTAATACATTAAGTATTCCAAAAAGCTATTACATCAAATGAGTGGCTTTGTGGGCATACTTCCAACAAAGGAAGGAAGGAAGTCTAGCGTGTTTCACCATTCTTTTCCGGGTTTTATCTTTTCCATGATTTCTTTTGTGATTTTTATTATGACTATGTGTAACTAAACTATTTTTCTAAGGTTTATGATGAAGCCATGACATGATTATTTCCAAAATATCTTGTTGATTATTATTCGATTACATGCCATGTTTAGTTCTTAATTTTGTGCTTAATCTATTCTAGTTTCGAACGTTCTTGTGATTGGCCATCATTGTGAACTTGTTTCTAGATAACTAGATAAATCTAAGAGGATGACCAATATCAATTAGGTTTATTGGAACTAAGATTTAGGAGAGTAGACAAACTAGTGAGGATGACCAATATCAAACTAGTCCTACTTGGTTGACATAATTCTTCAGTGCTTAATGGGCTTTTATGTGTTTAAATGTATGTCTAACCGATAGGCTATAGTTTTCACGCGTATAGACACACGAGTTGATGCCTAACCAAGGATTAATTCATATCTTAGAAAGAACAACCTTAAATATTGGCATGGTGATAGTAATTGGCTTGAAGAAAAGGGAATAGGATTGTTATTGGTGGATTCATGACCTTAGGCTTTCATCACATTACTTTCTTTCAAACTTTCATTCGTTGCGTGTTTTCGTTATTCATATTCCTAGTTTAATTTTAAGTTGAAGTTTTAATTATTTTTCATAATCAATTAGTCAATCATTCGTTTCCTAGTTAAGTTAAGTTTCACGTAATCAACTGGTTGAATTGGTATTAAAAGCAATCTCTGTGGGATCAACCTCGTATTTGCATTTATTTCTACAATTGATTCGTGCGCTTGCGAGTTAATTTGGTTTAAATTAAATTAATCTATTATTTAGGTTAGTTTAAATACACATCAAGTTTTTTGCACCATTGCTGGGGATGCCCCTTAATCCCAACTTGGTTTGTTGATTACACTTTACTTAATTGATTTTATTTTTTTTTCTTATATTTTATTTTTACCTTTGTTTCTGTTCTTTATCTTGTTTTTGTTTTCACATTATAAAAAAAATAAAAAAATAAAAAAATCGTTGGTCACATATTGTCAATTTGACTTTCTCCTTGTTTGACTATTTGTATTCGGTTACCATATTCTATTTGGATACCTTCTCTTATCTTCTTATTCTACTATACCACCCCGAGTCTTCTAGTCTTCCAATTGGAGTCTTTTGTTTGTAATCCGTGAGTTATTAGGAATTGGACTTCTCTGATTTACTTTTTCTTTGTGTTCACTTAAATCAATTGTTGATTATATTCATCATCACCAGATTCTCTGCGACACATCTGCAAGCATATTACTGAAATCATTCTTTGATTCCTTGTAGGTGAATGATCGATACTTGTTCCTCAGAAAATCAGCTTGTGGAATTCGAACCAGAGATTGAACAAAAGCTCAGGCAAATTTGCAAGGAACAAAGAGAACGAAGAGAAGAGAAGGCTAAGGAGAAGCAAGAACAAGAAGAGATGGCTGTGAACGATAATAATGGTGGTGCGCCTCGAACCATTTAAGATTTCTCTATGCCACAATTTTCTTCTCGACAATCATGCAAAGTTTATCCTGAACTTGATGCTACTTCTTCTTATAAGATCTGTTGATGCACAAAATCAGTGAGGACTTTGGTACAATAGAAAGTGTTAAGTTTGTGACCTTCGCTAGATTGCTCCGGTCACTAGTGTGGATAAGTATGTAAATGGATAGGGACAGGGAAGCAAACACAAGATGTACGTGGTTCACCCAGATTGGCTATGTCCACGGAGTAGAGGAGTTCTCATTAATTGTGAAGGGTTTACACAAGTACATAGGTTCAAGCTCTCCTTTAGTGAGTACTAGTGAATGATTTAGTACCAATGACATTAGGAAATATTGTG